AAAGCTGTATGCAGATCAATACTAGCTTATCTCGTCGATAGTGGATATTAAGTTGACTTCAACAAATATTTTAAAGGGCGTGTATACTGCTCAACAGTCCGCTCCATCCTCCCTTATAGCTGTGAGACCTGGCCATTGAGAGTGGAAGACATGAAAAAATTAGCTGTCTTTGACCATAGGTGTCTGCGTTCTATCTCCCGTGTGAAGTGGTATAATAAGGTGAGCAATACTGAGGTTAGGCGTCGAGTGCTAGGTAAGGAGGGGAAATCAGTCGACGAGACTGTGAAATTACATCGACTGAGATGGTTAGGACATGTGTTACGTAGGCATGCCTAGTCATCGCCTTCCTCGACGGCCAATGTTAGCTGATATAGGGTCAGGTTGTAAAAGAGCGAGCTAGTGGCGGTCAAACGAAAACATGGCACCAGTCAATGAAATCTACTACAGTTAGCCTAAGCCACGTAGGAAGGTGTAGACTTCCTGACTGGTTGGGGTACTCGGGACGGTAAAAACCAATGGTTGGAAACAATTGGTGACATGGCTCAAAATCGTTCTCAATGGCTGGCGCAAATGCATCCACTCTTTATGACTTACAATTTCCAGTAAAACTGTTTTGTTCTTCGTTATTACTATTCCTTTGTCTCACATCTCTGTTTACTGTCTCTAATATGCATTTCTCCTACTTTCTTCTCTTCGTTTGTGTGCTACATGGAGTGTGGCAACTTGAACTGCCGCACATATGTGCAAAGTTCTATGTCGAAAACCGACCGACCGATGGGCTTCATGACCTTATCGACTAACTTCCTCTCCTTACCTAACAATCGACCGAAGCCTAACCACAATATTACTCACTCTATCATACCACCTAACATGGGACATAGAACGTAGACATCTGCGATCAAAGAGAGCTAACTCTTTCATGTTTTCAACTTTCAGTGGCAACGTTTCATAGATGTAAAGGAGGATAGAGCAAACTACTGAGCAGTACACACGCGATTATCGTCATTAGGATAATTACTGTAATTTAACTAATTATTCCACTGTTATAAAACCGAAGATTACAATATTAGATATCGTTCATGTTTTTAAACGGAAGACAGACAATTTCACCAAGTGTTACTGAAACGAGGAAAATTAAAACATCAGAATTACTAAGTACAAATTCATTAAAAACACCGATTTTAGATACTACTGGCTAGTACTGTTAATCACTGGTTTTTAGAACTCCTTTATTTTACAAAAGTCTACCTGCTTTTGATACTCTTCACACTAACAGTCAATAAATTCACACAGAGGTTTGGTTTTACCACTCGAATCCACTTTTACCCTACTTCTACGCTCAATGCAAGCGTACCTAAGTAGACCATCACAGTAAGAACGCAACAGTTTAAATATACCACGTAAAGAATCTCAGCAAGAGATAAATGTCACTTCAAAGGTATAGCTGGTTGAATATCTTCAACCTGCTAATATACTGAACTTCAGTTTATCGGTGTCTTGTTGCACGCTACTCCCTGTGAGGAAACAGATATCCCACCTGGGTATACGTCTTTTTATTCCTTCACGTTCCCAGTGGAACATATGGCTTCAAGCTATAGGCTTGAAATTTCTGTAGCAGTGTTTATTTTTACAGGATGGGGTTGCTAGCCTCATGCTCAACCTTCCCTCTTTGCCAGTTTTATTACTGGCTTAGAGAAGTAAAGGAGTGCGTCGTTAATAAACAATAATCTAGTCTGGCGTATTTATGAGATCTCACTACGCACCGGATGAAGACATCAAACACAGCCGCTACTTTGGCATAGTGATCATTATTGTCTGTTGTTGTGAGTAGAAACGACGTCGTCTGAGGTTCAGTTAAACTAGAAAGGTTGGTTAAACAACGATACCCACTTAAAATCGTCACCCAATTACTACGAAATTATAAAATCTAGTGACAAGGCTGTACTGATGCTCACACCTAGGTTTAGGAAAAATAAGGTATTTCCCGAGGATAACTTCTCATGCCCTATACCTCGTCACTACGAGTGATATGACCATTAATAACACGGCTCAAGCGCTATGATACAATGTAATTCAATGTTATTTTATCAAATAAATGTGTTACACAATGAAACATTTATATTTCCCCAGATAAAGTTACCCGTACTACAATGCTTTAGAGCTAGGAACATCTTTCAGTTGTTATAGTCTTTACTAAGATGCAACTATTGACGCTCTCCAACTATACAAACTAGGTCCTAATATTTAATTGAAAAGTAAAAATTCCCTCTGATGATATGTACCAATGTCCACCGAGGAGTTTAGATCGGTAACTAACAAATCGGGCAATAATTTTTCTAAGTTGGCTGTAGCCAACTGCTCACATGAACCTAAGTGTCTATCAGGGTGTGTCAGTTAGCTGAATGACACAGGCAACGTTTTACCTACTTATGTAAGCCCATTTGAGCAGAGCCACCCTCCGAGCTTAAATAGGAAAAAGACTAGTACAAACTAACAGATTAATAGCATACGTTATGAAACTACCTATGAAAGGAAGAGAAAAAACTTAAGGTAAATCCGTTTCAATAAGCAATAAAGTTGGGTGCACATGCTTTAAAAACAAGAGAACAATGAGTTTACTACCCAGGGCTGAGTATATCCTATCGCCAGCTAGGAGGAAAGCACACTGGGCACACCAATTGTCTTTTTCTAGACTGGAATCAATACAATATAATACAATACAATGAGAGTAACTAAAGTACTTCTGATGCACTTGCCAGTAATTTGTTCGGGATCACTTCAAGACTTCACTGAGGGTTTAAGCACGAGTACAAGTAGCTTGTCCTGTTTGCAAAATAAGAAGGATAACAATGGCGACAAGTCTAAATTCTAGACTCTATTCACAAAACGAATTAGATAAATACACAGTTCCAGTATGCTTCGTGGCGGCATATACCGTAATGCTGTGAACTGATGAATTAAACATACATTTAAATAGACGACACAAAATATCCGTATAATTCGTGAAGACAATACTTGATATAGCATAAGGAAATAGACTTCTGAAACAAATTACGGATTTAAAAAGACAAAGGATTGAAAGTAACTAAATAAATAAATGCAGAACACAGTGCGACAAAAAAGGGTAACCTCACAATTGAAGTGAAAATAAGGTATGATGAATGCATTCGTGATACGGAGACTCATTCTAAGTTATATTACCTGATACCAGCCATAGGTTACTGCGTTCAAGTGGATACCAACCAAAAAGTCTACACTTCCTTACGCGGCTCAGATCAACAGTTTATTCATGAATTCCTGTCACATCATTGTTTAGTCACCAACTGCTTCCTACATATGCTAAAAGAGCACACATGTACAACACATCCCATCCACTTCTAGCACCACAACACTTTATCAACCGCCAACCCAACAGTTCTGATGAGACTTCAAGGCAATCAATGAATTTTTTTTCTTTTTCTTTTTTCTTTTAACATTAAAATACAATTTCGTAGGAGTCCTGTAGCACCAACTAGTACTTAATAAGGACAAAGAGCATGTCAGGTATACTCACAATTTCATTCGGAAGAGAGTTTTGTCATTGTTAACTTCTTGATTAGTATAACATTGTTTTATCGACGCAGTGGAAGACTATCAAAACACCTCTGGATCATACAACTCCAATGTTGACTTCAAGTTTGGAAAAATTGTATGTCAGTGTACCGATGGGTACACTTGTATTCTAAAAATTATCAAAGATGGAAAAAAAGTGATCAATGCGTCATCGCCTAAACCTATATATGTTCGACACTTTCTGGTTTTTCGGAGAATTTACAGATCCTTGAGCCTTAAACGGAATATTAACGATTCTCGTGTCGTTAGCATAACAAATGGCATATCTTAAACATCAGGATGATTACCAATCTACATCATTATTATAAGCTTCATTGGATTCCCATATTCTAAATAGTACTCTTTTTATTCAAACTAATCGGTCGGTCGGTTGGTTTTCGACATAGAACTTTGCACATATGTGCGGCAGTTCAAGTCGCCACACTCCATGTAGCACACAAAGCAAGAGAAGAAAGTAGGAGAAATGCATAATATAGACAGTAAACAGAGGTGTGAGACAAAGGAATAGTAATAACGAAGAACAATATAGTTTCATTGGAAATCATAAGTCACAAGGAGTGGATGCATCTGTGCCACTGAGAACGATTTTGAGCCATGTCACCAATTGTATCCAACCATTGGTTTTTACCGTCCTGAGGACCCCAACCAGGAAGTCTACACCTCCCTACATGGCTTAGACTAACTGTTGTGGATTTCTAACTAATAATTCCTGACCAACCTTAAATACTTGAATAATCAATCTGTTAAACCTTGCTGCCTCAACTCCACTCAGAATACACATCACTTTTACAGATTACCTCAGAATCGGAGGACCCATATCTTTGTCGAAGCTGCATAGCGCATAACACTTAATGCAGTTTTAAGGTAAGTCAACAACCTCCGGGTTAAACAGAAATGTAAAGACATTCTTGGAGGGCGGTACTCAGTAAAGGTGATGTAGCCAACAAGCATGTTTCCCATTGAAAGCTCGAATTAATATGAAGCACTCACAATGTGTTTTTTTTTAATTTATGCTTGCCTGTGACTAAAAATGCCACGAGATCAATCAACTCATAAATAACCTAACAGAAAAAGAAGGTTATATATTTTTATTTTCCTTCTTCTCTGGCTACTTCTCAATTTTATTCACTACTCTAACCTTACTTATTTATTTGATAAGAATATGCTATCAAATTACTTTTTCCGCAGAGCTTAAGATGTTTCTTCAAAGTTTGAGTGTATGCTTCGATAGTTTACAACTTTACGTAATTACCTAACGTAAAATCAGTCAATATAACCAAGAACGAGTTTAAACTCTGTAAGATAGATAAAAAAAAGTGGTGCACCACAAAATCTCCCCGCAAAGTAAACACTTTTGGCGTCTATCAATTTATTGAGATGAAAGGACTGACAGCCAAAGAACGAAGTAACTAACTTTTTATTCGAAACTACTCAAAGTATAGCTTTACTCAAAACATCACCAATCCATGTTGCCAAACTTTGTAACATCTCAAAAAGAGGAAGTGAAAAGAAATAGAATGAGTCGTCGATAAGTAATCAAGAAAACGAGGCGAGGCGAAATTCTTGCACCTGATAATCCTGGGACTTGATATGATAGGTGACACAAACTAAGAAACCTTGTCAAACTTGATCTGTCACTCAAAATATACAACAGGTATCACGGAAAAATTTCAAAACATCTGAACAACCATCAAAAACCTTAAAAATGGTGAAAAATATATTGGGATGCGGAAATTGTACAGGTAATAAATTATACTTTTCGTGAATAAGTGACACATCGTCTGCCCGAGTATCACTGAAACAATTCTTCGTAATCAATGATGGTCAGATTGAAACAAAGCAAGTTTTGTATTACTGTATTTTGCTTGATTTGGTATGCCGAAGATTTCTGAAGACAGTCATCCTACTGCGGCCATCACGATCACCAACACCACTTTCAGCATTACTCGAGCTTTGACGACTACTTTCGACACGATTATCCAATACGTCAGGATGAGCGAGTAAGTCATCAACATCCATTCGTACACAACGAGCCTAAAACAAAGAATACCTCAATTTAACAAAGAGAACTACAAAAGTTGGACTAAACAGACAATGTTATTGAAACATACGTTACTACAAAATGGTTATAAAGCTAAAAGTGAGAATTGCAACTGTGGTAACATAAAATATACTAGCTATTCAGCAAAGAATACTCTAAACTCTGGCAATTTACCTGTCTCAATAAAAAAACTATTTAAAACTTGATGAAAAGTAATAAATAATCATAGTAGTGATATCATAAACCAGTGCGTAAATTTGTGTAAAAGATAATTAGGCACACGCATTGTTTGGTGAGGTTTAGGTCAGATGGACTTGCAATTCCAAGATTGTAATTAGACTTTCTGAAACAATGGCTACAACCGTATCAATAAACAGACCTCTGTGCATTATAGAATTGGGTACAATGGGAAGACTATCATCATCAGACATACATTGGTACTGGTTGGTATTGCATACACTGGTACTGGTTGGTATTGCATACACTGGTACTGGTTAATATACCGCTCTCCACTTTTCCCTGAATATTTGGGAGTAAGCAGATATATACATGCATTATACTACACCAGTAGTAAATGAGACAATGACAGTAGGTGCTGGATAGGCTTTATAATTCTGTACTAGGAGGTTGCACTAAGCCAAAAAACACAAACCATCAATAAGTGAAATCAAATAACGTACATCTGACTTAGCTAGCTGACCTCTTAAAGCCTCTTTGATTGACAGAGAGGCTTCCGAGATTTCCTTTTGATGCATTTCTGCCTGACATCGGCGATCATTAACTCCTTTTATCTCACTAGCAATATGAGCCAGTACATTTTCAACTTGATTACACCATGAATCAAGCTTCTGATGAAGTTGGGGAATCTAACAAATAAATAAAATAAAATAGCATCTTTACTTCTTCAATACGTATATCACGCCCAACAGCCGAGTCGACCTCCAGTAAAGCTTTTTGCTGATCAAGTTTGCCTGTTATTGCTTCAAGGTAAAAAAGCTCAATAATCAGATCTTCTAAATCCCTCGATGAAGTAAGACCAAGTTTTTTAAATAAAAGGTCATATGGTATGCGCTTCTGGTTATGTGCCTCATCGATAATTGACAACTGTTTTAATTTTCGAATATGGGTGGGTCTTAGTTCCGGATATGCTGAATGGTTGGAAGCATAAGTCTCAAATGTGCCATAGCAAAACAAATTCATCAGATCAAAATACTGAGAGAGTTCACCATTCTCAATAGACTGAATCTTCGGATGGTCGAGGAATTCGCCAAAGACGAATAAACCTCAGAAAAAACATGAACCAAATTTAGAAACATACCAGGACACTCAGTGATGGACAATATGAGTTCAGGCAACGTAGAATTATCTGCAGTTGGTAACTGGTTCAAGAATGTTTCTACCTTTTCTGAGGTCATATGATCAATTCGCTACTGACCTTAGAACAATCGAAATCCCTCCTCCTCCAATATCCAATATCCAATTTCATTTTACGAGGTAGTGTAAAACAATTTGATTTCTTTGTGCTTGCCTCTTCATTGTGAGGTATAGGTTCCTGATCTTTTGATAAACTTCTGCGTAGCTCATTCCGCCACTCGACTGTGGTAGCTTTGGTTCCAATATCCAATATCCTGATTACGAGCTAGTATAAACCAGTGATTTCTTTGAGCTCGCTTCTTGATTGTAAGGTAGAGGTTCCAGATCTTCGGTGAACTTATGCGTAGTAAATCCCGCCACTCGACTGCTTTAGCTCTGGTAGACTCCAAGAGGAGTGGTGCGAGGATTGGTCAAGATGTGGTTTGTAGTGTACAGTATGTTAGGACTCAGTTGCTGCCGTGAATGGAGTTTGACCTAACACCCCTTGGTCATTCGGTGTAGTCATGAAAGTAGAATAGTAATAATAATAATAGGTTGTAGTGCAGATAGCATAGGTTGAGATAAGTGAAATAATAAAGGTGACCAAAGAAAAGACAGAGTGGTCGGTACAGTGAGAGAAGACAGGACGGGTCGTGGGGATTTAGCTTGTATACTTATCCATTGACAGTGTGGTTTCAAATTTTAAGAGGATAAGCCATTGAGACACAAACCATGCATTTCTGCATGATTGTCCAGCTTCCGCTTAAAAGTCTCCACAGATGGTGCTGTAGTTACGGCCACCGGTAAAGCGTTCTAGAGACGGCAAACTCGAAGCGAAAAGAAATGTGAACGCACTCGAGTCTTTGGTCTCTGGTGTGCTATCCTTAGCGGGTTACGTCGTGGAAGCCTATATTCGCTTAATGGCAGAATGCTTTTATTAGGGTGGGCCTGGTCATTTAAGATCTTATAGACGGTGATGAGCTCTCCCCTGTGACTACGGTAACTAAGTGTGAAAAGACTTAATTTCTTCAGTCTTTCCTCATATGATTTGTTGCGGAGGCCGATCACTTATTTTGTCGCTCGTCTCTGGACACTTTCTAGAATATTAGGATCCCTTTTGAGTAGCGGAGGAGCTATGATACCTCAAGGAGTGGCCTCACGTATGTCGTATACAACCTTAAGAATAGTTCGGGAGTAAGAGCTCCCAGCTGCCTGTGCATAAAGTGTAAAGTTGCGTAAGCTTCGGCGACGTCCCTTGTGTAATTTACACTGGTGTCTAGCTTTTCTGTTAAAATAAGACCTAGGTCCGCGGTGCTCGGGATAATTATATGTAGTTTGTAGTATGCGGTGTGTTAAGACAGTTACAACTATGAATGGAGTTTATCCTTTCACACGTTAGTCCTCCGGTGTCGTCGTCAAAACATAAGAGGTAATGATAATAGATATAATCAGTGAAGTTATTCAGGCTAAAAGACAGAAAAAGAGAGAAAGGAAACGTAACAACAGTCAGCTGATTTAATTTGAAGAATAATAATTTCATATAAACTTACCTGTTTATACGAAATATAAATTATTATATTGGTAATAATAATAGTAGGTGTAGTTAAAGTTGTCAGGAGAGTAAGATGGGAGAGAATGTAAACAAGTAAAACGACGAAATTAGTTCTCTACCTCTGGATGGTTATGGGACTTTAAGGGGATAAGCCGCTTGGGTGCAATCCTTGTGTCGCTGTAAGATTGTCCAGTCTTCGCCTAAAGGTGTCCACAGATGGTGCCATAGCTAAACCTGCCGGTGAGGAGTTCCAGGGACGGCAAACTCGCAGTGAATAGAAGTGGGAGCGCACTCGATTCTTCACCCTTCGGTAAGCCACTCTCCGTGGATTTCAAAGAGGAAGCTCATACGTACTTAATCGCATAACACCTTCGTTTGGATGATTCTGGTCATTCGTAATCCTAAAGGCAGTAATCAGGTCCCACCTAAGCCGACGTCAGCTAAGTGTGAAGAGGCCTAATTTCTTTAGCGGTTCATTATTTGGTTAGTTTTGGAGACCCATCACCCCTTTTGCCACCCGTCTTTGGACTCTTTCCTGGAAGTCGCGCATCTTCCAAACACTGTGGAAACAATGATACTGTGTACTTCAAGGTGTGGTCTGAAGCTGTACTAGTTCCTGACTTCCAGGTATGCGTCGTGATCTGTCTGACTGTTGGATATTCGCCACGCAAAACAAGCCTTCCGCTTTGCCTGTAGAATATGTTCCTCACCTCTCTTTATTCTTGATGACTATTTTTTTGGATATGCTGTGACCAAAGGGACAGTATTCGAGATTGCTGTATGAATAACCTCTCTTACCACTTCTCAGTGTTCATCCGCAGATAACGCTAAGGGCCATTCTGCATCAGACAAAAGCCTCCGCATTTCAGCATAGTCCGCCTTGCTATAGCACAGATATGACCGTGTAACGTTTCACTGCAAGTGCTCACGGAGAACAAGATCGAATCCTATGATTGCATGGTCACTACTTCCTAGAACAGTCATGATCTGGAACTTTTCTACGAGTAGTTGGTCGCTAGTTAGAATGTAATCTAGTTTCAATGACTTTTCTCTAGAGCCCCACCTAGTGTCGTCTCCAACGTTCTCGGCCAGTCCTGTATTTTGAATGGTTTGCAGTAGATTTTGACCTAATTTTCCACGAGCATACCCCGAGCCGAGGTTTAGTAATGGGGCATTGAAATCTCCTGCTGTAGTAATTTGATCATAGCACAAGTCCCTTATCCCTGTGATGGTGCTGAGCAGTAGCCTGTTATGCTCTACCCCATAGGTGAATGACTGGTAGATGCCACCCACTAAGTGCCTGGTGTGGCCTATGGTGAAATGTCACCATATGGATTCTGGAAGTTCAATAAGTGGTGGGTCTGTTGCGCGTACACAGTCAAGTTACTTGACAAATTATACGGCAACTCCTCCCTTCCTTATTACTCTTGTCTCTCCTGATCAGAACCATATCACCTATACTGGTTTCGTTGTCGGAGATAGTGGGGGTTAGCCAGGTTTCAGTGACAATGATTATTTTAAGGCATAGATGTTACTGGAGGTTTCTGAGTTCACCTAGTTCACTAGAATGCTAAAATCGATGTTACGCGGAAATGTAATAACTTGAAAGGTCTCAGCTCAGATAAAAAACTCTAGCCAAATCAAATAACAGTGATCCAAACGAACATACTCAGCACTGTCTCTGGAACACAGATTTCAGATTCAGGTTTGTTGATTGAGGATTGATAGCTTGAAGCCTACGTTGATACTTTTCTCGTAAATTTCGGTGCTTGTCCAAACCCTTCTTGAATTAATCAGTTAAGGTTGCACACATAGCTTCTTCTGGGAGTCGGTTCCAAGAGTTTAAGACTCGGTGTAATAACCAGCACTCCACAGCAATATGGTTTCTCCTTGGCTTTTGAACCCTCCTGTTATGTCCTCTAAGGTGTTCCGACCTGGTCGGGAGGAAGAGAGGGAATAGGTCAGGTGCGTAGTCATTATTCAAAATTTTAAACATTGTAATGAGACCTCTCTGCCTACGGTACGATAGGGGGAAGTGATTTAAACTGTCCAGTCTTTCCTCATGCCGGGAATCATAAGTGTTGCCTTTGAACCCTTCCTAGAATATGTGAGCCTCTTTCAAGACAAGGACTGGCTGCCTGGATACAGTTTTCTAGTCTTGGCCTCACTGAAGATGTATATAAGGAGATGAACACTTCTCTGGTGATTCTAGTAAAGGCTCTGTGGATTGCCTACAAGGATCTGAAGCTAGGTGCAGCCACTGCGCGACATTGTGCTATAATTTTTAAGTCGTGGCTTACTATGACACGTAAAGTTTTATCTCCTCTAGTTCTTTGGGCTGATGCTTGCGTGTCCGATGCTCATGGTTTCACAGTTCGCTACACTGATAACTGTCGTCCATTCTCCGGACCACTCTAAGAATTTGTTGAGGTCTTCTTGCAACGTGAACGTATCACTATCGCCTTTCACCTCTCTCCAAATTTTTAATTAATCCGTGTTTAGGATTTAAGGGGAATCGGTGAGCATAAATAATTCAGTGATGTACAAAATATATAGGAGAGTCCTGGCTACCGTGTCCTGTGGCACTCCTTTATGTTCTGTTGTGCAGGAGGAGAGTTTTTAGTTGATCCTTACCCTATGCCTCCTATCGATGAGGAATTCCCTAATCCAGTTTAGCAATCTGCCTTGGATACCAAGACTTTCCAAATTCATGAATAGTCTTTTGTGAGAAACTTTATCAAAGGCTTTACTTAAGTCTATGAAGATGACATTAACGGATCTTCTGTTGTCCCCTGATTTAACCCAGATTTCTCTTGCAGTGAGGAGATTTGACAGGCATGAGAGGTTTCCCCGGAAGCAGTGCTATGCTCTGGATAACATTTTGTTGTCTTATACATATGCCATGATGCTTTTCTTGATGATTCTTTCTAGTGCCTTGATTAAAGTAATGGTGAGACGGATAGGCCTGTAATTTGAAGGGCTTTGTGTTGATCCTCTTTTGTGGATGGGGGCTACTATGACGTCTTCCCAGTCACGCGATAACACTCCATTTAGAAGAGATAGCTTGAAGACAGTGGAGCTGATAGCTCCTCGAGAAGCCTTGGATGAAGATTATCAGGCCCCATTGATTTCCCTGCATCTAGTTTCATTAAACAGTTGAGCACGATGCCTTGGTCGATATCAACGAAATCTATCTTGTATTCCTTGATGCAGCCAGAGCTGATCCTATGATGAGTGACGACTCCTGTTTAAAGACTTGGTAGAATTATTCTGTCATTGCTTCTGCTTTTTCTTGATCCTCTTCAATTGTGTCTCTGCCAGTATTCAAGTTTGTGACACCACTGGATGTCTTATTCCTGAATTTCATGTACGAGGAAATTTTCTTAAGTTGTGCCTTTGCATTTCAAGATAAATGTGCTTCAAAACTCATCCTCTATCGGCGAATTTCTGCAATAGCTTTGATCCTAGCGACGTTGTATAACTCTCTGGTCTCAGGAGTCTCAAATGTGGTAGACAGGTTCCAGTATGTGTCTACGTAATTTTCGGATACCTCAGTTTATTCAAGGGAGGCAATATTTCCGGTCCTTTGGGACATGCCAAGGCATGAAAGATTCAGTTACTTGTGCATAAAGTTGTTTAAAGTGAATCCATACGGCT